AAAAACCTTCGCCTGCAGATACGCTCAAAACTTCGACCCCGCTGCTGTGGACCTTGCAAGATCATCAAGATGATAACCCAAGTGACCGCCCAACTCCGCCTGCCCGACGATTGGAAAATTCATAATTCGTTCCACGTCAGCTTCCTTCGTCCTTTCATTGCCAACATGTCAAACATCACCCGACAGCCGATCGCCCAGGATCTTTGGCCAGCCAAGGAGATGCTCGTCGAACCAGCAAAGATCCTGAGCCATCGCGTAAGAATCAACGGCCAGGAACGACACGTTGATTTTTTGATACGATGGACTCATCATACCAACGAGGACGACACGTGTATTCCCTCAGTACAAGTACAGTTGCCTACTGTACTCCGGGATTATTTATCTCGCAAGCACGTCGCAAATACAGACCACCTTCGCTAGAGGGGCGGTAGTGTAAGGAATTTTCCATTCCTTAGCGTGCCACACTGCTAACGTGTACCCCAACCCCACATGGCACCGACACCTGCCCTAGCTTCGGCCCGATCATGGCACCGAACCATTTCCACGTCACTCTGAAGCACTCCGCGTCCTCGGATACCTTCTTTGAACCTGTTCGATCACACGGCTAGGATTGCTCTGGCGTTCCTATATCTTGATTCGTCATTCCATTGTACCACATTGTATAATTCTGAACCTCGACATTCGATTCCCCGCTACTCCGGTGAAACACCCAGAACATGAGTTGGGCTAACAATCCCTTAAGCGAGGGTCCCTTAGTTTCAAGTTGGACCCGCATTCACTATTCTAGCCCCTTGCTTTAAAGCCCGCAGCCCAAAAACTTCATGCTTTAGAAACATGACGTGCGACCGTTAGATATTTTGTGAGTGAAGAAACTGTTGATTTAAGCAAACGTGTCGCGAGTGTATTTGGTTTCGCGTAGTCAGCTAAGGGCACTGGCTGGTTTGGGCTTCAGAATTCCCAAATTGCAATGGCCCCCATTTTTAAGTTCCCGCAGGCCAACCCACGTGAGACACCCAGTCAAGATTCTGACCAATCAGGTGCCTTCGTGGTGTGTATAACCCCAGTTTTGTGGAAAAGAAAAATGGCACAACCACATGACACGCAATTTGGAACTCGGGCTTTAATCTTGTAGCTTGATCAAATAGTTGAGGAATGTCAAAATAATCGCAGATGATTGTGACCGTTGATAGTGGTCTACTTTTCGGCTGACCGAACTGGGTAATGGTGAAAAATGTTGCAGCAAAATGAACAGTAACGCTGTAAATTGTCAGTTGGCCATGTAACGAAATCGGGGCGCGAAGGTGGCATGATGAGTGGCGGTGGAACTACGAGGGACACGGGGCATGCAGGCTGCTGACGTATGCAAATACATTGTGCTCGTCGATCTTGGCAGTCGAAATCCAAAATTCGAGGAGGCAAATGCAGCGCAGCTGCACTTCTCCCCCCCTCGAAGAAGAAACAGCTCCCAGCAACGCAGGTAAATTCCAGGTAGCCCACGACTCTATGGTAATAAAAAAATACCCCAATTGCTTCTGACTATGGAAACTTAGCTTTGAAGATGCGAATGAAAACTCCAATCAGTATGACTCGCAAGGAGGCCCCAAAGTCGAATATTGTCTCCAGGGTAAACCACTTCAAAGTTCATGAAAAGCAGCAACAACTGCTTAGAAGACTCCCGCAGTAACTCCATATTTCTCGATGAAAATACTGCTTGCAAGCTGTACACGTATCCCGTGCTAATTTCTCATTCCGCTGTAGCTTGTCAATCGTGCAAATAGGCCTTGTCGTATGCGTCAATGTAGCTCGTCGTTTGTGCAAGTGAAGCGCGGCGCGAGAAGATGCTGGGTGAGAAAATGGCAATCCAAGTCCACCACCTGGGCATGGGTCTTCCGATGCCATCGATTACGAGAAGGCGCACATCATACACTGTCGATCCCCTAGCAGCTATCACCCTTGAAACTCCATCAGCTAAAATGTCGGAACTCCACAGAGTATTTAACAAATATTGTAACTCTGCTTCACAGCTGCACTGTTTCACAACTACTCGTAAAATTGCTGGTGACGCTACCCCCAAACTTCAGGTTCTTAACATCTGCGCCACTAGTTATCGAAGACTTCCCCGTCTGGCACCGGGCGTTTTAGCAGCGCGCCGATGTTCGCTCAACATTGCGTCCGCTATGACACCAAAACAGCCCGTGAATCAGGGTCAACTCCCTCCACGTAGCCTCACTCCAAAACTTCGGAAACAATGTCGAGCTCCAGCCAAAACCGTGTAAACTTTGAGTATGTCATCACCGCTTCCCCGACATATTCTGCAGGTCGTCGTTCACCCAACTCCCCGCTTTTGTCAGTAAATATGCAGATGTAAACAATATCCGGTTCAGGACGGAGCAAAATCTGGTGCGCATGCTCTGCTGAAAAGCTTGTGGTTCTGTCGACATCGGCGACACATCCTTGCCGTTTGGACTGGACTCGAGCTCCGCGTGCCATCCGATTGTCGCGCCAAAAGCTGCCGCTTTTTTCGTGAATCCTCTTCGCAGCATAAAAACTTTTTTGTTGAAAACAATCCACCAGCACAGGGAGATCCGCAAGCTTACCCCCGTTATCCGTCCAGGACCGTCAGAGTATCATTAAACTCGAACTGGTGAACCTGGTGGTGGTGCTGAAGATCCGGGCGACCCAGACAGTACGGAGATTCGGCCTGCTACTGACACTTAACCAGCTATTACAGGTCGTTCTTCTTCTCTGCAACATCTCTTCGATGTTGAAGTTTAGCGGTGACCCGCTAATGACACTTCAAATAAGACTGGAGGGTAGTTGCTGGTCATCCTCATTAGATTGTGGAGTGTACTTTTTTACCACGAAAATGGCTTCCTCTGCAGGAATCCAGACCTGCCGAGCTCAAAACTCTAGGGCTGACGAAATACAGCTCCAGGCAGGCAGGTCAAGCAAATCGAGCCCAAGGTCAGTACACATGATCCCACTTACAGACATCCACGCTACTCACACAATTCGGATCAGGACCCAATGATTTATATGTCCTACTCTTATCACGTGGTGCAAGAGCACATTCATTGTCTGACATGAAGCCATGCTGGTAAACTGTTCAAGATTCAGCATAGATTTCATACAGACCAATGGGAAGAGTCCCTCAGATTGAATTTCCAAAAACCACTACCCTAACGAAGGCTTTTGAAAACTTCTCGTGCACTAATGATGTTTTCTATTGTCATGGAAGCAACGAATACTCTAGCGATATCAACTTTCCAAACTCCACCACTCAACCCACTTTTAGGGCGTTTCCAGAGTGACAATTTTCTTAATTTGGCATCCATTGTAGCTCGGTTTGCGGCAACCTTTTATGGATTCTCTGCGATGCCTTGATTTTGTGGGTGGTCGTTTCAGTTTTTTTGCCATTGAGTTGTTGTCACTCCGCGTGCGTTGTATCAAAGAATAAAGGTGTGTTCACAGTTGGATTTTGACTTCCGACAAGGGATGTCGATTCCGTCCGATCAACATCCGGCGATATTCTTCACCGGGTGTCGACGTCTCACTCTGGACACGCCCAGATGAAATGTTGTAACTAGCGCCGTTTCTGGTGCTGCATCTCTCCAATCCTAGCGAACAGGCAGGTTACTCGTCAAAATGCCAGTTAAGACGGGTCACTCTGACCGTAGTTAATTGCATACTTGCATGCGCTGCCGCCCGGTCAGTGTACATGCACATTTTGCCCGACGTTTTGGCCGGAGGATACATGCGCGGACAACGCAACAATTTCAAGTGTTTGAATTGTGGAACATATGTACTCCCCAAAACTCCTCCGTGCCTGAGCCCCACGTGTGCTACAGTCCGATCCTTGGTCATGCCAAAATTTCCAACGCCACGTTGCTGAACAGTATCCGAAGCCCGTCTTCACATGCATGCCCCCGGCGGAAAACGCTGAAAATCGTGACACCCAGCTACAGGTACTTCTGCAACTGCAGGCCATCTTTGCACGCTCCTGGTGAAACAATCCTCTTGCCTAGGGATATTTGCGAGCTCGTCGCCACATGGCGAGCTCCTCTCGAGGTTCGCCGTAGAATCGATGAACCTTGTCACCATGCCCGAAAGGGTCTTCGCCGCGTGTGGACAACGTTAGTTGCCACATAAAATACAACCGAGGTTGAACAGTGACAAATCCAAAAACCACGTGGCAGCAAATCAGTCCGTTCCCAGGGGAAGGGAGGATCCGGTCCATCCTGACCGTCCGAAGGCAGGGATCGACTGGCGATGGTGCGCACACGCTATCGTAGTTGTTGCAACTAATCACATCTAGCTGCAAGACAACCGCTGTGCAACTCCATGCCCTCCAGCCATCCCGCTCCCCCCCTCCCCCCCCCCCCCTTTCCCCCCCAACCCGCCCCCCTTCCCCCTTTCCCCCCCTTCCCCCCCCTCCCCCACCACCCCCCCTCCTCCCCCCCAGAAAAAAATTTCATGGGGGGTGGAAGTTGTAGCCTAGGAAAGTGCTCTGATTACCAGATGTGATGAGTAGGAATGGAACGATCGACCGTGTAATAGAAATACAACCACGGATCATAATTAATGAGCAAGTGATTAGCGAACTGGTTCAAATAGGGAACGGACGTGCTAGGACGAGCTAGGGCGAGAACCTCCAGGCGTGAGGTTGGTTGGATGGGTGGTGAGGGTGCCGGGACGCGACTCGGGGAGGTTGGGCCAACAATATAGGCCGAACTTGCGAGTTCGAGGTCTTCGGGTGTACTGTACGCGTTGTAGTTTAGCGTAGTAAGGAATGGTAAATCCTTACAAGGGTGTTCTTGTGTAACAGGTAATCAAACTCCATAATGGCAAATCTCTTTGTAATTTAGAAAGGGTTGGATATCCTCTCTCGATTACATTTGAAGATACTGGTATGCGGCAGTGACTGCTTCCGCTTGATGCTGAGGGTCTGAAGGTATTCTGTGAAAGTGTTGCTCATGTACTCCACGGCACCATCGCTCTGGAATTCTTGCATTTTTATGCCAGACTCTCTTTCAGCGACGGCGAGCCATGCGACGAAGACGGAATGGGCGAGATATCGAGCAGGAAGGTTTGCTCTCCAGACGTAGCGAGTGGATGCTTCGATGAATGTTATCACGTACTGCTCGTCTTTAGGACTTGCGTCAGGTAAGTTAAGAATATCGCTGTAGACTTTCTGCATCAGTTTGTAACGTGTGGAGCCAGGAAAGTGACTTGGAAACGGATCATGGGTAAGATTAGCGATCGGACGCGTGGTGCAAACCGTGAGACGGGATTGCGGCTTCATCTTCGTGCCGTCAGGTAAAAGAAGACTATTTTTAGCAAGAACTGCTGCTCGTATTGAATGATTAAGATAAGAATCCCTTGTGATGGATGGCCGAACCGTTGATGCTAGATATCTTCTGTGGCTTTGTGTCCTGATAATCGCAGGTAGAAATTGGCGTTAGTATAAAATGAAGAAATGATAAAAGGAGAAAGCGCTGGTGACCTGCCAATCTCTCCTTCAACGAAACGTGTAAGTGGCAACTGAACATTTGAAGGTGCTGCTGCAGTTGCGATTGCAACTTCTGATGCTGCTTCTGTTGATGTTGTGGCAGGTGTTCCTGCGACAGCTACTGGTGGACGCGGCTGCTCGGTGACTTCTTCCTTTTCGGCTTCTTCAACGACATTAGGTTCATCAGCTGCATGTCCTCTAATTTCTCCCCAAAGTGGAGCTGGAGTCCCTTGAAGAGCCTCGCGAGTATTGTAAAATGTTCGCCAAGCGTTGGCGCTTGCATCGGCGGTACTGAACTCCCAGGTATCCAGTGCGGTAAGTACGGCGGCTGCAGTTCGAGAAGCCGTTGGTACTGTAGTTGCTCGAAAGTCAATATCCACGTGCTGATAATCTGTTTCTTCTGGGTGATCCCAGGGACCAAGTGCAAGGACGCGTTTGGAATCTCCAGAAGTTCCCTGTGCCGCGAACTGAAGAACAGACACGCCATGTTGAGTGGCGGCTCGACCGAGGTAAGTATTCGATAAACTGTGCCATAACTCCTGATCCATTGTATCACAATTGCCTTGAGTGCGTATTTTGTGTGCCAGGAGCTGAGCCGTGGAGAGAAGATTGAAGCCAAGTTCAGCGACAATATGAACATTGGTAACGTGTAGTGAATATCCCGTGTCGACTGATTCGAGCATGACACTTCCAATGGATCTTGCCATAATAGTTTGTCCGTTTGCGACTGTGACAGGTATCGGTCGACGAAGTGGACGCTGTTGGTGATAAAACTGGTTTCAGCGGAGCACATGTGCCAACTGCAGCAGCTGTAAAGATACCAAGTATTCGGACCTGAAATTATTCGAGCAAGGTTAGCTTAAACTTTAGGTAAGGGAATGCCTTCAGCACTTGTGGTTTCTTCAAGTCGTGTCTCGAAATCTGTTTCTGAAACATCAACTGTGGTAATACATCCAAAGACCCCTTTCCCTGATGTTGCAGATGCAAAGACCGGAGGACGATGCTGTGACGACGACGGATTCTGCGGCGTTTTCGGCATCTGCTGCGTCTGGGTCGTCGACTGCTGCGTTGGCAGATGTGACTTCGGTAACCACAGCCCCCACTGGCCGTTGCAGGCTGCTGCAGACAGAGATTCCCATACACGGTATTGCACAGCCACGTACCTCTATTACCCAAGTTGGGCTAACTCCAGCTGCTGCTGCTTTGCCTCTTCTGATTATTGCTGCGATGCCGTCTTCTTCAGTTATCGTCGCCATAGCTCACTCCCCGGCTTGCGGACCATAAGCTCTCAGCTCAGATTTCAAGCCCAAGGGAACTGGATAAATATAAAAACAGTGAAAATAGTAATGCTACTTCATGTATTGTTACATTTCACTTCGTCCAGCCCCTTGTTGAGTTTATTTCGAGTCCCTTCGTGGTTGGGGACTCTGTGGTGGTGTACCACCACCCTGGACCTTGGCTCTTGGGGCTTGTAGAGGCTGAGAACTATCTCAATATCGATTCTTCTTGCTAAGGTTGTACTTCTAAGACTATAGCGGCTGCTATACCTCCTGCCAGTCAAACCGCCATATCGACGTCAAATCTTCATGGAATTTCATGATTCAACTTGCTGCTGATAGGCGACAGCAATGCACTCCAGATCCAACTTATAGATCACCGTTTAATTCACCGATCAGATCGTTATCAATATTTGAAGCCGTCTGACGGAAATCCGGTTGTGATCTCTATCTCTCATTTTAGGCACATCTGAGCCTATTGTGATTATAACAAGTGGTATCAGAGCCCCTTGGAGCCATTTCGACCATGCCCAGATCTGGGGAAGGGGTTGGCAGAGGTGCTGGAGGTAGAGAAGATGCCCAAGTACAAGGCCAACACCAAGATCCACCCATTGCTCCCGTGCAACCTAGCTTTGGCCCCTCTAGGGATGAGCCTAGAGTGTTTGGCCTTGACAAGTTCAACGGTGGCAACTTTGCTGAGTGGTCCTTCAAGATGGAGAACATCTTTGACCACTATGATCTGCTGGAGGTGATGGAAGGAATGGAGAAGCGCCCCGAGAACGACCCGGAGAAGAGCCAGTGGGTGCGGAAGAGCACACAAGGCTATCTTCTATTTGGGAAAGCATTGGGGAGCAGCCAAATCCGTCACATCAAGCCTTTTCAGCGTGAACCAGCAAAGGGACCAAAGACATGGGCTGCTCTCAAGGGTGTACACGCTCCTGCAACAGCGGCGGTGGCTGTGGTTTTGGAGCGGCAAATGGCGGCACTTCGAATTGACGAAGGCGAACCGGTGGAGGAAGGAGTGCTGAAATTCTTCGACTTGTTGACACGGCTCGAAGGAGCTGACCTGAACTATAGTGACCTTCAAAAGAAGACCAAGCTGCTGGCCTTACTTCCTGACTCATGGTCGTCGCTCATCATCTACCTAAATCGAGATCTGCCCCGCCTCTTGCTCGAAGATGTGAAGCGGGAAATCTTACAATAAGATTTCCGCCGTCGCCGCGAATTGGCGGGTCCCGATGGTGCCGGAGTTGCAAGCATGGGCCGTGGGCATGGCTGTAAAAGGGGCAGAGGGCGAGGAGGCAGATTTGGCAGCAGTAACTTCAATGGAGGCCGTGGTAATGGATGATATGGCAGCAACAACAACAATAATGGCTACGGGCGTGGGTGCGGTCAATTAGATGGCGAATGCCACTTTTGCCAAAAGACCGGCCACATGTGGAGGGATTGCTATAGATTGCCTGATGGATGGACCCCTTCTCAAGGCCAAGAGGGCAGAGGAGCAAGGGGAGGAAGAGGCAGAGGTCGTGGAGGCCGTGGTGGTCGTGGTGGTCGTGGAAGTGAAGCGGCAAGCATGAAAGGTGGAGACTACGAGACGGGCCCGAGTGAAGATCGATACCCGGGCCAATTCTTCTTCGTCTCCACGCAAGCGGCAGCTGTAGCAGGAGGTGTGGAAGGCTGTGAGGAGCCAGCTACTGTGGGAAAGGTCACCCTTCACTCTCTGGACTTTTGGGTGATCGATAGCGGGGCCACCTATAGCATGACACCTCGTGCGGACTTGCTCACCGAACTCGAACCGTCGCCAGTCAAGCATGTTACATCGGCTTTGGGGCAGCGAGCACAGGTGAAAGGCATGGGCAAGGCCATGTTCAAGAGTGCTGATGGGAAGATGGTGGGCCTCAACAACGTGCCTTGGGTGCCCAACCTAGCAGCCAACCTGATTTCCGTGCGGCGTTTGCAAAAGGCCGGCATGGACACATCTTCCAAGGGTTCCAAAACATATACCGCGAGGCTTGGTGAGCGGAAGCTTTGGGACCTTCATGAGGTCAGGGACATCTACAATAAGATATGGCAAATCCCAGTGTTTCCCATGCCTATGGGGAGGTAGGTGGCAGCAAGCATCAGCACCAAGAGTTAAGCGGTTGGTGGCGGTGATCACGGAAAGCAAAGTGACACCAAGAGTGACTCGAAGGAGTGCAATCTCGGGGAGACCAGCAAGGCGTGTGAACCCAAGGAGAGTGGTGCAGCAGCCAAAGGTGGTGGAAATGAGGAGGAGAAGCCTAAGATCAGCAAATCAGCAGCGGCAAAGGAGACTTGGCTTGCATGTCCTTGGCACTTGGCACTGTCGCACGCGCCTTCTCCCACCACCTTCTCGCGCAGATCGCCGAATGCCATTCATGGGGGACGGCCATTCTCCTAACCCCTGAGTCTGTTGAAGAGCTGTGTTTTTGGCTTACACAGTTCGATGTTTTCAACGGCGCCCGCTTCCACAACCCGCATTTGTACGACGTGGTCATGTACGTGGATGCTAGCGACCATGCCTGGGGGGCTTGTTATTCAGCGCCTGATGGTCGTGTCGTCTCGCTCTAACCCTCTTGGGCTCGTCCAGTACCCTTCGCGAGCTGGTCGGAATCTTTTGGTCCCTTTCGGCCTTTTCAGTCGACACCTCGCGTTCGCACATCTTGCTCCGCAGCGACAGTTAGTTGGCCTACTACATCCTCCAGAAGGGAGGCTCTCGCCGTCCCGAGCTTACCTTCATATTCCGCGCGATTATTCAATTGTGCGTGCGCCATATGATTCGTCTTACGTTCCAATGGATTCCTTGCGAGCTGATTATCGAGGCTGATGCTCTGTCCAAGATTGAGCTCCATGGAGACTACTCCTTGACCCAACCTTGGTTCCTGCTGCTTGAGAGGTATTGGGGGCCTCGTACAATCGACTTGCTCGCATCCCCTGCCAATGCGCAGCTTGCTCGTTTCTGCTCCCTCGAGTTCTCACATTCCGCGTTTGCGCAAGACGTCTTTTCTATTAATTGGGGACACGAGAATTGCTTCGCCTTTCCTCCACCCGCCCTCATCCCGGCTGTCCTAGCTCATGCCTGTCGCTCACGCACTTATCTCACTCTCGTGATCCCATATTGGCCCAGTGCTTTTTGGTGGCCGTTGCTAAGCCTGGACGGCTTCACTTGGGCCCCGAAGGTCGTTATGGCCATTCGTGTCACTATGACGACTGCACTGCACACTCCTCTGAGGTCGTGTCACAATTAGGACTTCGCTGGTTTTTTGTAGGTTGCTGGGTGTGTGGGGCGAGTGTCTGTACAAGAGGACTTCACCAAAATTTTACGTAGGTTGCTGGGTGTGCGGGGGGAATGTCTCTGGCGATTGGGGACTTCGCCTAAATCTTGGGATTCTGGGCAGTTTGGTACCATTTGTCTATATCAGGATCGGTACGCGTTAACACCTGGAAACTCAGTATCCACAGAACACGGTCCCTGAATTTCTCAGTCTTAGAGAACTTATAACCCTGAAGTGTTGAGATTTTGACCACCCTGAAAATTAAGGGTTGGCAAAAAAACCTACCTTGTGAAATCAAGGAATCAGGATAAAATACCCCGTTAATTTCACCCCTGATTCCTGATTTCATAGGGTAAAATACCAGATTCGGTTAAGTGTTTGTGTACCAGCCCTGAGCTGTCAGTATGCCTTCGAGGATAACCCCGATTCCTCAAATCTTGCAAATGCAAGTGTGCCACTTGGGTACCCCTTGTTTTTTCCGCCCAAAAACATTTCGGCTAAGTCCTCAATGTTAGCAACAATCCTTTGAAACCCCCCGTCACTCAAAAAAACCGGCAAAGTCCTCAATGCTAGAGACAGTCCTCCGAAACCCCCTAGCTGCTCTAAAAATTTGGGTTAGGTCCTCAATGCTAGAGGCAGCCCTCCTCCCTCCCTCCCCCCCCCCCTTGCCACTAGAAAATCTCGGCTTCTCCTCACTGTGCAACCCACAACCCCTACGCAACCCTAAAATTCTGACTTGGTCATCGAAATCGTGATGCCCAGGTTACGTCAAATCAAAACTCTGTCAAGTACTTCGGCATCCAAACCAATCTCATCAAACTGGCCGTCATAACCGCTCGATCAGGATCTAATGGCGATTTTTTCACACAAGTTTCCGTTTCTTTTCATGGGCCACATGCCTGGCTGAATTTTCAGGGGCTGATTTCGTTTTCAACTGAAAGCTCACGCTCTCAGCAAAATTATGTCTGACAGTTGGACAATGAAAAATTCCTTGGTCTGATTTGCCCCGTGGGCTGAAGTTCACGCAAACTCGGCCAATCGCGGCTAATTCCCAACCCAGCACAACACATGAAGCACAGACACCCTGTAAGTGATCCATCTGTCGAGTTGGACCCGGCTTGATTGGGAATTTGGGACCCTTGGGCTGATATAGGGGGGGCAAGTGAGTGGGCAGCAGAAAATGTCGTTTCGTGCTGGGCAGGAGCTCGGCAACGAAAGTGTCTGCCCACGCGACGAATTTAGTTTAGTGAGAACGGGCGTGTTTACACACAAACTAGTCGGTGCACCTCAGTGGAGCAATGCATGTTACTGAAAACTGACGGCCACGATTGAATTCGGTTGAACCTAGTTTCAAACGTTTGGACACGACATGGGAAAAGGTTTGTGGGCTGGGGTCCTGGAAAATGCGCCTTCATTTGGCTGCTCTAGATGGCGAGAAATTTGAACCTATCAGGAAGTTGTTTTGTGTTTTTGCATGAGTAGTGAACCCAGGTCCAATTTGAAAGTCAAGTTGGGGCCACTTAGATGATGACGAGGCAGTGGGGTTGCACAAGTGCGTGTGACTTGTTGCAGCTCGCAAAATCTCATTTAGAACTCTCCTAGCCAATCAACTGCTTGCGCCTGTTCGCTCTGTACATCGCGCATGCGTCGTCGAACTGCCATGACTCTGCCAAATGGGGCTGTCAGTCCATTCGAAAAAATCGAGAGTCCCTCTGTTTCAACTTGGACCCACCTTCACTAAAATAGTGACTTCGCAAGATTTCCAGCATTTCAGAATTTACCCTGAGGCCACAGTATAGAAATCGGGAACCTCCCTGAGGAATCAGTATGAACATAAGCGGCAAACCCTGTGTTAAAATTATATAAGTTATATATAATTGATAGGCTTGATAGTTATTACTGAACCTTACTGTAGAGGGTACAATCCCCTCCTTGTACCCCTCTCTCTTCCTAATCGACTCCCTTCTCTCTCGTCTATCTTCCCTAGCTAAACCTCGGCCGCCATTCCATGGCGGCCTTCTCCTTTCTTGCTAGCTCACTTTTAGACATGGTACTAGAGCAGGCCGCACGTCTCGGGCCTGCTCACTACGCTTCCGCTGCGTTCCTGTTGTTACTTTGCCGCCGTTGCGGCTTTTTGCCTGCCTGCCCCTGTGGCATCTTTTTCGTGATGCCGCGGCGGCCTTTTAGTCCTGCCATCTTAGCTTCGACGAGCAGACGCGGCACCGACGCCACACTGTGGCGGCGTCGTAATGGTGCCGCGGCGGCGTCGTCGAGCCGCAACTGCCGCGTATCACCTCCACAGCCGCTGCACGTGCAGCCCCCCCGCTCGCCAGTCAGCGCCGCGCCAACAATGCTGCTGCGCTGAAGTCCTGTAGCCCCACCACCTCTCCCTTCCCTGCGTCTCCTCCTGCTCCTGCTGCAGCTGCTGTCTTCTGCTCGGTCATCGCCGGGTCGTGCCATACCTCCGCTTGATGCTGAGGGTCTGAAGGTATTCTGTGAAAGTGTTGCTCATGTACTCCACGGCACCATCGCTCTGGAATTCTTGCATTTTTATGCCAGACTCTCTTTCAGCGACGGCGAGCCATGCGACGAAGACGGAATGGGCGAGATATCGAGCAGGAAGGTTTGCTCTCCAGACGTAGCGAGTGGATGCTTCGATGAATGTTATCACGTACTGCTCGTCTTTAGGACTTGCGTCAGGTAAATTAAGAATATCGCTGTAGACTTTCTGCATCAGTTTGTAACGTGTGGAGCCAGGAAAGTGACTTGGAAACGGATCATGGGTAAGATTAGCGATCGGACGCGTGGTGCAAACCGTGAGACGGGATTGCGGCTTCATCTTCGTGCCGTCAGGTAAAAGAAGACTATTTTTAGCAAGAACTGCTGCTCGTATTGAATGATTAAGATAAGAATCCCTTGTGATGGATGGCCGAACCGCTGATGCTAGATATCTTCTGTGGCTTTGTGTCCTGATAATCGCAGGTAGAAATTGGCGTTAGTATAAAATGAAGAAATGATAAAAGGAGAAAGCGCTGGTGACCTGCCAATCTCTCCTTCAACGAAACGTGTAAGTGGCAACTGAACATTTGAAGGTGCTGCTGCAGTTGCGATTGCAACTTCTGATGCTGTTTTTGTTGATGTTGTGGCAGGTGTTCCTGCGACAGCTACTGGTGGACGCGGCTGCTCGGTGACTTCTTCCTTTTCGGCTTCTTCAACGACATTAGGTTCATCAGCTGCATGTCCTCTAATTTCTCCCCAAAGTGGAGCTGGAGTCCCTTGAAGAGCCTCGCGAGTATTGTAAAATGTTCGCCAAGCGTTGGCGCTTGCATCGGCGGTACTGAACTCCCAGGTATCCAGTGCGGTAAGTACGGCGGCTGCAGTTCGAGAAGCCGTTGGTACTGTAGTTGCTCGAAAGTCAATATCCACGTGCTGATAATCTGTTTCTTCTGGGTGATCCCAGGGACCAAGTGCAAGGACGCGTTTGGAATCTCCAGAAGTTCCCTGTGCCGCGAACTGAAGAACAGACACGCCATGTTGAGTGGCGGCTCGACCGAGGTAAGTATTCGATAAACTGTGCCATAACTCCTGATCCATTGTATCACAATTGCCTTGAGTGCGTATTTTGTGTGCCAGGAGCTGAGCCGTGGAGAGAAGATTGAAGCCAAGTTCAGCGACAATATGAACACTGGTAACGTGTAGTGAATATCCCGTGTCGACTGATTCGAGCATGACACTTCCAATGGATCTTGCCATAATAGTTTGTCCGTTTGCGACTGTGACAGGTATCGGTCGACGAAGTGGACGCTGTTGGTGATAAAACTGGTTTCAGCGGAGCACATGTGCCAACTGCAGCAGCTGTAAAGATACCAAGTATTCGGACCTGAAATTATTCGAGCAAGGTAAGCTTAAACTTTAGGTAAGGGAATGCCTTCAGCACTTGTGGTTTCTTCAAGTCGTGTCCCGAAATCTGTTTCTGAAACATCAATCGGTCGAATTTCTGGGGCTGCGAGGCGAGTAGGGAAGAAATGTGCTGGGGGGAACTATCTCTGGCTGCTAGTATCAGAAATTAGAATTGAATAATCGTAATGTGAGAGTACACACAAATATATCTAAGTTTTGTATCCTCTAAGAGGTGACTCTATACAGTCTATACAAACATGACAAATACACATGTTTGACACACCCCCTAGACTGCATAGGGGAATACCCTAAACAAGCAGCTCAGGGCGGCACTACTAGTCCAACCTCTGAGGCAAGGGTCTGAGCGACCGGTCAGAAGGAGTACAGACAAGGCAAGCACAAGAGCAGGGCGGCACTACTAGTCCAGCTACTGGGAGAGGACACAAGTCTAGTCTGAGTATACATATAAAGGACAGTACAAAGTCAAGGTCCTAGCAAGTGAGAAGCTACAGGAACTAGACCAAGCTGTACACAGTGCCGCTGATGATCTTTAGGCGCAAGCGCCTTCGTAAAGATATCAGCCGTGTTGGCACCTGAGGCCAAGTGTACTACGCGAGCCTGACGTCGCTGCTGTAGCTCACGCAGGAGGAAGTACCGCAGCTGAATGTGCTTCGCTCTGCCCTCGAGTCGAGGCTCCTGACACAGGAGGATCATGGCCATGTTGTCAGCGAACAGGACCGGGGCAGAGCTAGGCCGCTCACCTAAGTCAGTGAGCAAGAAGGTCAGCCAGCGGAGCTCCTGTGCCGCCATGGCACCGGCGTAGATCTCAGCCTCACAGCTGGACTGTGCAACAGACGAGGAGCGAGTAGCTCTCCACGAGACGGCACCTGAGCCAAGGCTGAAGCAGTAGCCCTGGGTAGACCGGAGTGTCTCAGCGTCGTCTGCCCACGAAGCGTCTGTGTGCCCAGTAAGGACCACTGGACTGCGTCCTCCTAGCACTAACCCCATGCCCGATGTACTAGCAAGATAACGCAGAACCCTCTTAGCGGCAGACCAGTGCTGCGGTCGGTGTCTGCCTGTGGCCACAAAGCGAGCCAGGATGCTGAGAGGGTATGCGCGATCTGGACGAGTGCAAGTCATCAGGTACATGAGGCAACCCACCAGCTCTGCGTAGGGGCCGCTGGGCTCTACCAACTCCTCAGGCACTGGAGCGGAGAGCCTGTGGTCTACAGGCAGAGGGGTGGGCTGTGCAGAGGAGAACTGAAGGCTGAACCTCTGAAGGACCTGGCGCACCAAGTGTGACTGAGTCAGGGTGATGGTGCACGCAGCTCTGTCCCTGGAGATCTGCAAGCCAAGGTAACGGCGCAGTTCTCCAAGGTCAGTGCAGGTGTGTCTCTTCAGCAGCTCTGCCTTCACGGAGGAAAGCGCGTCCCTGTCTGCTGTGGCAAAGACCAGGTCGTCGACGTAAACGAGGATGTAGAACGGAGTCTGGCCAGCACGAACGAAGAGTGAAGGGTCTGCAGAAGACGGAAAGAATTGCAGGTCAGCAAGCGTAGTACGCAGAGTGTCGTGCCACTCACGGGGAGCCTGGCGCAGGCCGTAGACGGGGCGCCGCAGGAGCCACTGGGTCCCAGGAGGGAAGGTGCCAGTAAAGCCCGGAGGGCGGCGCAGGTAGACCTGCTCGTGTAGGCTGCCCTGAAGGAAGGCAGTGGAGAAGTCGAGGGAGTGAAGCTCGTAGTCACGCTGAGCAGCTAGGTGTAACAGAACCCGAAGAGTAGTCATCTTCGGGGTCAGAGCGAAAGTCTGGAAGAAGTCCACCCCCTCGCGCTGACTGAAGCCTCTAGCCACATAGCGCGCCTTGAAGACAGGCGGCTCTCCAGGAGGGCGCTTCACCTTGAAGAGCCAGCGGCCATCGACTACGTTCACCCCAGGTGGGGGAACTGCGTCGATGAAGGTGCCGGTGGATCTCCAAGATGCCATCTCCTGCTCCATGGCAGCTATCCACTGCGAGGCCCAGGGTCCCGAAGTCGCCTCAGCGTAAGTGCGAGGGGTCGGGATGTCGAAAGCGTCTGGGTCACCCTCAGGGACTAGCAGCATGGAACAGAGATGGGGAGCAGCCTCGGAGAGGAAAGCAAGCTCGAACTGGCGGTCCTCCAGGACGTCACTGCCAAGGGCAGGAGCACCCCCGACAGACGGAGGACAGGCAGGGTCAGAGACCAGAGCGGTGGCGTAGTCAAGGCGGCGGGTAGAGGCGAAGTCAGCGACAGCAGCGACAAGAGCGGCAAGGCACGAGACGGGAACAGACGGGTCGGTAACGAGAGAGGCAAGGACCCGAGGAACGAGAGGACGAGCGGCACGAAGGTAGTCGGACAGCGGGGGGGGCGCAACAACAAGGGAGGACGGAGGAGGCGACGGCAGAAGGGGAGGACGAGACTCGTGTGAACGAAGCAACATAGGGTGGGAGCGCAGGACAGGCGAGGTAGGACGAGCACGGGAGGGACGGTGAGACCAGACGTGCGATGGAGGAGTCGGGTCAGGAGACAGGGGAGGGGACACAGAAGGGGAACGAGGGGGGAGACGGGCCGGGGACGAGTCCGGCGGAGGGAAAACAGGGCCGTAGACAGGAAGAGGAGGAGACAGTGGGGGAGGAACCGACGCAGGGTCGGGGGACGGAAGGCCGAGCAGGCGAAGGGCGGACACCGGCGGGGACTGCTGCTGCGGCGGCACAACGGCGACACCTGGACCGCAAGCTGCTCCTCGGCTACCACCGGCACTCTCCACACCCGCACCCCCAGAGGGACCACCCTCAGGGCGACCGGGACGAGCACCCCCAGAGTCAGCGAACGGGGGCTGCGACGGCGGCGGCGGCAGCGGCGGCGGCGACGGCGACGGCTGCAGCGGCGGCAGGGGCGGCGGAGGAGGGGACTGGGGAGGGGACACCTGGGGAGGGGCGGCCGGCGAGGACTGCACCGGAGGGCCACCAGAGTCAGAAGACTCCTCAACCGGGTCCACGGACGGAAGGGGGGTGACGTGGGAGACACCAGAGGGGGCGGGACGGGGAGGAGGAGGAGGAGGGGCAGGGACTACCGGGGAAGGGGTGACCAGGAACAGGGGGGGGGTAACCGGGGGACCACGGTGGGGGAAGCGGCGGTAGTAGGAGACGGACTCGTCAAAGGTGACGTCACGAGGGTGAAAGAAGCGGTGAGACGGCGGGTGGTAAAAGTGCCAGTCGGACGCGTCAAGGGGAAAACCGAGGAAGACGCAGGGAAGGGTGCGGGCAGTGAGCTTGTCCGTGCCGGAGGCACGGACGTGAGCAAGGCAGCCCCAGACGTGGAACGCAGACGCGTCACCAGGAGACCCAGTCCAAAGACGGGTCGGCGAAACCTGCGGCTGCTGAGGGTGCGGCCACAGGTTAAGCTGGTGAGAAGCGTAGCGCACAGCGAACGGCCACAGAAAATGGGGTGCACCGGCATGGACCATGGAGGTGCGAGCGACCTCCATGACCAAACCGATGCGTCGCTCAGCGACCCCATTCTGCTGTGGGGAGTCCGGTAGGGTGAACGTCTGGGTGATGCCCTCCGCACGACAAAAGCGACCAAGGACACCTGAGGCAAACTGGCCACCACGGTCTGAGTGAAGACGCAAGACAGGGAGACCGCGGTGGACACGCGCAGAGACAAGCCAGGGGATGAGAGCGCCAGGCACGTCGGCCTTGCGCTCCAGGGGAAAGACTGTGGTGTAACGAGTGAAGTCGTCGACAAGCACAAGGAAGTAGCGCTCGCGACGCGGCCCAGGGACGCGGGCGGGGCCCCACACGTCCAGGTGCAGGGTCTGCAGCGGCGCGGCGGTAGGGGGGAACGAGGAGGAGTGAGGGGCACGGCGAAGCCGACCCTCGACACAAGGCGTGCAAGGTGGAGCTGGGGAGGAGGGAAACGCGGGGAGTGAACCTGGGAGACCAAGGACAAGACCGTGCTGGGACATGTGACGCAGACGCGGGAGCGCAGGGTGACCTAGGCGGTGGTGCCACAGGAGGGTCAGGTGAGTGAGGGGGCGACAGGAGCAGGCAGCAGCAACCTGGGTAGACACAGCCACCTGAGGGGGCGCTCCAGCCGGGGGGGGCACGGTGTCCAGAGTGAACAGGCCGGACACCGGGTCCCGGGGGAACGTGGACAGGGGGGCACCAGTGGCGGCCTCGGTACAGACAGCATACCGCTCGTGACCAGGGAACATAGTGGTGACGCCAAGGTCCTGGAGGCAGCCGACACCGACTAGGTTCCTGGAGAACGAGGGGATATGCAGACCTGTAAGAGAGCCCGAAGGAACCGCCGGACAGGGAAGGGTGGTGGAACTGCGGGCGACTACCGGACCGCCGGAGGGGTCAGCAAGAGAAACGGCAGCAGGAACAGGAAGCGGTGTCAGGGTGGTGGAGTCGCGGAAGAAACACCGAGAGGCGCCAGAGTCCAAGGTGAAGGAAAGCGAAGCCGAGGGGTCTGGCGACGGAACGACGGCAGAAGCACCAAGACTACACAAAGCAGGGGATCCTACGCCTGACGCAGCAGGGAAGGCTAAGCTAGGCACACCTACACTAGGCAACAGTGAGTAATAAGTCGGAAGCACACTAGAGTCAGCAGCATACATCACATGCAGAGCAGAGACAATGGCATCCATGTCCATATCAAAGATCTGAATCTGACGACTAAGCAAACTGTGCCAGTCCGGGAGGTCTGGCGACGGGCCGAAACGCTGACGAAAGAGGTCGTCCAAGCGACGAAAGCAGCGGGGAGTGGAGTGACCGATCTTACCGCAAGCTCCGCCGCCATCAGGAACAGTCCAGTGCTGTGCAGGGCGGTGCAGCTAGGTGGGGTGCGGTGCAGTGCGATACAGTGCGGTGCAGTGCGGTGCAGTGGGATGCAGTGCGGTACAGTGCGGTACAGTGCGGTGCAGTGCGGTGCAGTGCGGTACAGTGCGGTGCAGTGCGGTGCAGGGCGGCACGGAGCAGGGCGGGGTGGGGGGGGGGGGGGGGGGGGGGGGGGGGAACCGTACCAGTGAGGAGGACGGGGCCGGGGCTGGCCCGACGGGGCCGGGCAGGCGCGACGGGGCCGGGCTGGTGCGACAGGGCCGGGACGGGGCGACGGGGCCGAGCGGGCGCGACGGGGCCGGGCTGGGGCGACGGGGCCGGGCCGGTACGACGGGGCCGGGCGAGCGGGACGGCGGCCGGGCTGGTGCGACGGGGCCGGGCGGCTGCGACGGGACCAGGCAGGGTGCGACGGGGCCGGGCGGGCGGGACGGGGCCGGGCAGGGTGCGACGGCGCCGGGCGGGCGCGACGGGGCCGGGCGGCGGCGACGGCGCCGGGCGGGCGCGACGGGGCCGGGCGGCGGCGACGGTTACGACGCGGCCCAGGAGGGGCGCTACGGGGCCCAGGAGGGGCACGACGGGGGGGGCCCAGGAGAGGCGCTACGAAGCCCAAGAGGGGCGCGACGAGGCCCAGGAGGGGCGCTACGGGGCCTGGGAGGGGCGCGACGGGGCCTGGGAGGGGCGCGACGGGGCCCAGGAGGGGCGCGACAGGGCCCAAGGAGGGCGCGACGGGGCCCAGGAGGGGCGCTACGGGGCCCAGGAGGGGCGCGACGGGGCCCAGGAGGGGCGCTACGGAGCCCAGGAGGGGCGCGACAGAGCCCAGGAGGGGCGCTACGGGGCCTGGAAGGAGCGCGACGGGGCCCAGGAGGGGCGCGACAGAGCCCAGGAGGGGCGCTACGAGGCCTGGGAGGAGCGCGACGGGGCCCAGGAGGGGCGCTAGGGGGCCTGGGAGGAGCGCGACGGGGCCTGGGAGGGGCGCGACGGGGCCTGGGAGGGCGTTACAGGGCCCAGGAGGGGCGCTACGAAGCCCAGGAGGGGCGCGACGAGGCCCAGGAGGGGCGCTACGGGGCCCAGGAGGGGCGCGACGGGGCGCGACGGGGCCTGGGAGGAGCGCGACGGGGCCCAGGAGGGGCGCTAGAGGGCCTGGGAGGGGCGCGACGGGGCCTGGGAGGGCGGTACAGGGCCCAGGAGGGGCGCTACGAAGCCCAGGAGGGGCGCGACGAGGCCCAGGAGGGGCGCTACGGGGCCCAGGAGGGGCGCGACGGGGCGCTACGGGGCCTGGGAGGAGCGCGACGGGGCCCAGGAGGGGCGCTAGGGGGCCTGGGAGGAGCGCGACGGGGCCTGGGAGGAGCGCGACGAGGCCCAGGAGGGGCGCTAGAGGGCCTGGGAGGGATGAGCGGAAGCGGTAGGTGGGGGGGGGGGGGGGATCCTACCTACGCGTGATACCATATCAGAAATTAGAATTGAATAATCGTAATGTGAGAGTACACACAAATATATCTAAGTTTTGTATCCTCTAAGAGGTGACTCTATACAGTCTATACAAACATGACAAATACACATGTTTGACACAACTGTGGTAATACATCCAAAGACCCCTTTCCCTGATGTTGCAGATGCAAAGACCGGAGGACGATGCTGTGACGACGACGGATTCTGCGGCGTTTTCGGCATCTGCTGCGTCTGGGTCGTCGACTGCTGCGTTGGCAGATGTGACTTCGGTAACTGCTGCGAGCGATGATAAGGCTGTGAAGTGCTGCGTTCGTTTTGATGTCGACTGCGACAATTATGGTAAGTGTGTCCTGGTTTCTTGCAGAAATGACAGAAGGGATACTTCTGGGCAAGTCGTCGTTGCGATTCTGGATTTGAATAAAAACTCATGTGTATCCCCTTTTTCTGATTGCGTTGTGACTGCAGATCGAGATCTTGCTGTTCTGCTTGAAGATACGACGAAATTTCAGCTTCGGAAACGTTTGGATTCATGCGTAGGAAGGCGCGCGTCTGTCGCCATTCGGGTCCAAGGACAGCAAGAAGGACCGTGAGATACATCTCACGAGGGAAGTATCCCCCACTTTTCTCCAGTTGATCTCGTAGTGTACGGACGCGGTTGACGTAATCCATGACGTTTGAATAACCTGAGCACATAATTCTGTGGAAAGTCAAGGTTGATAATAGAAAGTTATTACAAGGATTTAGAACTCTATGGAAAGTACCTGTTCGGCTAGTTGCGCGCTATGCGACCTATTCGTCATTCTATAGGGTCGCGACTGTTCGCGTGACTGAAACGACTCGTTATGCCTATTCGTGTAACTGAAGCGGTATGCTGACGTCATCCCCGAGATCCAGGATGCTTTGCCGACGTCATCACTCGTGCATGGTTGCTTACTGAGAATCTCGATATTGCTAGGTACACTGAAACGGAACTTGCAGGAATGCAAAACTTCATATGTCACAACAACTACCACGAGCTTTTTTGGGGGCCCGCCCTGATTGGTCAGGATGCCTGAAATCCTATCTGAGGCCCTGGACTGTAGAGAGTACAACACACTTATAGGAACTCTATCCTGCATGTGTCTCCCCAATTGATTCTCTAACTTTGATCATTGCAACCATGTTACTACGTAAAAAACTGGAAGACCTTTATATCGTCGCTCCGCCACTCCGGGTGTAGATTGCTCTGATCCACTGCTCGCCACGTCATGCCCTCCCCTGCCATGCCATGGAAACACTTGGGCGTGGCTGGGCGCAGCTCCACTGAGAAGAATATCTGGAGGGGAAAGGGGGCAGGGGGTTGTTGGCAGGCCTGACGTTTCAAAAAAACCCCCCCTGAGCTGTCGAATAAAAACAAAAGTTTACCCTGAGGGCTCAGGTTTCAAAAAATGCCTACCCTGATTTGTAAGGGTTCAGAAATCTGGAACCCTGAAAATCCCAGGGTTCACCGAGCGCGTTCAGGGTTGCCTTCAACACGAGGGGGGAATAAAAAATGGGGGGAAAAAGGGGAGGGAATCAAACCGAGGGGAGGGGGAGAGCGAAACGGAGGGGAAGGGGGAGGATGGAAACATAGGGGAAGAGAGGAAGCGAAACGGGGAGGGAAAAAGTGGAGGTTGGGGGGTGGGGGAAGTTCGAAATACAGTCGAGGAATGGGAGAAGCGAAACGGAGGGGAAGGGGGGATCGAAACGGAGGGGAAGGGGGGATCGAAACGGGGGGGAAGGGGGGATCGAAACGGAGGGGAAGGGGGGATCGAAACGGAGGGGAAGGGGGGATCGAAACGGGGGTGAAGGGGGGATCGAAACGGAGGGGAAGGGGGGATCGAAACGGAGGGGAAGGGGGGATCGAAACGGAGGGGAAGGGGGGATCGAAATGGAGGGGAAGGGGGGATCGAAACGGAGGGGAAGTGGGGATCGAAACGGAGGGGAAGGGGGGATCGAAACGGAGGGGAAGGGGGGATCGAAACGGGGGGGAAGGGGGGATCGAAACGGAGGGGAAGGGGGGATCGAAACGGAGGGGAAGGGGGGATCGAAACGGAGGGGAAGGGGGGATCGAAACGGAGGGGAAGGGGGGATCGAAACGGAGGGGAAGGGGGGATCGAAACGGAGGGGAAGTGGGGATCGAAACGGAGGGGAAGGGGGGATCGAAACGGAGGGGAAGGGGGGATCGAAACGGAGGGGAGGGGGAGTAGAAACCAAGCAAGAAAGGGGGAGGGAATCAAAAACAAGATGCGAGGGGCGAAACGGAGGGGAGATGGGGGAATCGAAATGGAGGGGAGGGGGGAAACGAAACGGAGGGGGAGTGGGGGGAGCGAAAATGGAGGGGAGGGAGGAATCGAAGTGGATTGGAGGGGGGAAGCTGGGTAATAGGGCGGTCGGAGAAAATTCGCGCCCTTGCAGCGCCCCGGCTGGGAGATCTTGGACGTCGATCAATGTGACCATCTAACGGTTTAAGTATGTCGAAACGATCGCAATCGATCTTGACCGTTACATTTTCATAGACTTAGCTAATTTTGGTGGGTTGTTGTTAGTGTGTAGGGGGGATGTCTGTACGACACATGACTTAGCCGATTTCTGTGGGTTGCTTGGTGTGTGAGGGAATGTTTGAGGACTTCACCAATTTTTGTAGGTTGTTGCGTGTGGGGGGGAATGTCTCTGGAGATTGGGGACTTCGCCTAAATTTCCGCATTGTGAGCCACATGGATGTCGCACTCAGGGTTCGTACGCGTTACTCCCTGAAAACTCAGTGTTGGGATAACGCAAACCCTGAAATTCTCAATGTTCACAGACATACAACCCTGAAGAGGTTAGGGTTCAAAAAAGCCCAACCCTGAAAATTAAGGGTTGGCAAAAAAAAACCCTGTGAAATCAGGGAATCAGGGTAAAATACCCTGATAACGACAGGCCTGGTTGTTGGGGGTGGGGGGGCAGGAGCATGAAAGCAGGCTCAATAAATTATGGATAGACTGCATGGAAACACTCGGGCGGGGCTGGGCGCAGCTCAACCGAGAAGAATATCTGAAGTCTCAAAGCAGGGGAAGGCGAGAGAAAGCAGGCACAATGGATCGAAGATGGAAACACTCGGGCGTGGCTGGGCGAAGCTTGACTGAGAAGAATATCTGAAGAGTGGAGGAGGAAGAGGGTCAGGACAGAAAAGGCAGGGAGAAAAGAATGGCCTAAGGAAACGCTTGGGCGTGGCTGGGCACAGCTCGACTGAGATGAATATCTAACTAGTGGAGGAGGAAGAGCAGGTCAGGACAGGGGAAGAGTGAGCAGGGGAGGGGGAGGGTGGGCAGGGAGAGGGGGGTGAGAGGAGCAGACATGAGAAGATGGCATGGAAACTGTCAGGCGTGGCTCGGTGCGGCTCCACTGGGAAGAATATCTGAAGAGGTGGGGGGGGGGGGGGGGGGATAAGGAAGGGAAGATAGGAAACGAAATGCAACCAAGGGTTGAAGGCGCTCAGGCGTGGCTGGGCGCAGCTCAACAGAGACGACCCGAGGGAAGGAAGTTCTGAAGGGAGAAAAGAGAACTGAAGAACAGGATGAAACCAGGGGAGCGAACAGGGGGAGCGAACAGGGGGAGAGAACATTGGGAGAGAACACAGGGAGAGAACAAGGGGAGGACACGGGGAGAGAACAGGGGGAGAGAACAGGGGGAGAGAACAGGGGGAGAGAACAGGGGGGAGAACAGGGGGAGAGAACAGGGGGAGAGAACAGGGGGAGAGAACAGGGGGAGAGAACAGGGGGAGAGAACAGGGGGAGACAACAGGGGGAGAGAACAGGGGGAGAGAACACGGGGAGAGAAGATGGGGAGAGAACACGGGGAGAAGACAGGGGGGGAGAGCAGGGGTAGAGAACATGGGGAAAGAACACGGTGAGAGAAGATGGGGAGAGAACACGAAGAGAGAAGATGGGGGGAGAAAAGGGGGAGAGGGGGAGAGAACAGGGGGAGATAACACGGGGGAGAACAAGGGGCGAGATGGCAAAAGGATGGGGACATGGGGACAGGTCCAGTGAGAGGAGTGTGTGGAGAAGCGAGGGGGGGAGAGGAAGGGAAGGCAATGGAGAAGAAGGCAAGGAAACACTCGGGCATGGCCTGGCGCAGATGGACAGAGGAGTATTTGGTGAGGGTGGGAGAAGGAGGATCCACGAGATGAGACGAGGAGGAGAAGAAGAGCTGGCGACCGGAACAGAGGAAGAAGAGAAGGGCATGGGAAGACGAAGAGAACGTGGGAAACTAGGGCGTGGGTATAGGGACATGGGCACAGCTAGCCTGAGGAAAGTATCTGGTGAGGGAAGGGGGGAGGGGAAAGAGCAGATATTATGGAAGGAAAATACAGGGCACGGAGGGATGCAGCTCTCTACAATACTTACCCGAGACAGTGCGTACCGATAACCATGCTTACCCTATACAATGCTTACCAATAACCATGCTTACCCTATACAGTGCTTATACAGTACTTATACAGTGCTTACCCTAGTGCGAGGTCCCACCAGCTGCTTGACAGTCTGGCAAAGGGCGGGCATCAGATCTGCCTCGTACATGATATCCGATCCAACGATCAGATCCAGATCCTTCACGAAATCCTCAACATCCAACGGCTCAGATTCAGCGCCTCCTCGTACCCCTCCGTGTGCACTCAACCCTCCTGATTCTCCTGACGACGCTGCAGCTCCTGCTCTCCCTTGCTTTCCTCCTGCTCCGCGCTCGCTAGGTCCCCCTTCCGCCAACAGACGTTCCGCACTACCGGTACTCCGCCCATCCGTCGGATCTTCTGCCTCCATTCCCCCATTCCCCCCCGCCCTCTCGGCAAAAACACCTTTCCGCAGATCCACCTGCCTGGGCAAGCCCTCACCCCATTCCAGCTGCGCCGCAAAGGCCCTTCCCTCGAGCGCATTCTCCTTAATGTTCCGCCTGATCCCACTTAGTACTCTTAAATCGCGGTCCGTCAGCAGCACGCGCGCTCCTAAGGCCGCCGCGGCGAGCCCCACGAGTCCTAATCCCGCTCCGAGCTCTAGAACCCTTAGATCCTTAATCGACCCCTCCGGCCACGTGGCCTTGTCGTGCGAGAGCCACGTGGCGAAGACGATCGACGCGTCCCACACCCACGCGCCCGTCACTGACTTCCTCGTCGCCGGGTCGATCGCGTCCTCGAGCTCTACGATCCGGATCGTGCGGCTGCCGCCTAAGTCGACCTCTCGCACGTTCACCATGGCGGGTTGTCTGGCGAGCCTCACAATGAGAGGGGCTTTAATCTCGAGTCGCCTCAATATTAATTCGCCTCCATCTCGAGTCCCCTCATCTTTATTGCCTTAATTCCGAGTCTCCACAGAGGAATCCTCGAGCTCTACGATCCGGATCGCCCCACTGACTACGTCCAACGTCGAGTCGACCTCTCGAGCTCTAGTCGAGACGTGACCATCCCGTGACGTAAACGCGACCGCTGCGTGACGTTCACCTTGGCAGCTGACGCGTCTCGCTTGAGCTGACAAGAGCAGAGCTCTAGTAGTCGCGACCGTCACGTGACGTTCACGTGACCTTGGCAACTGCCGCAATAGGACGGAGGCTCCCGTCGCTGTTTCCCGGCCCGCCGACACACTAACTCTCTCCACGGGCTGATTGGAAGCCAAGAGACAAGCGACGCGAGAGAAGGCCAAGAGGCTAGCAGCTAAAGAGTTGGCACCGTGAGCGGCGCGCAAACTAGGCTTGAGCCTGAGAAACAGGAATGCACAAACAAAGGGGAGGCTTCGGTACAAGCGTCGCCTGTGGTATCCCTAGGTAAACTGATTCAGTTATATGTATAGTTTCACTTATACTCACTTATATTTCAATTTTATGATGAGGATGGTCTTAGCTAGAAGAAAGTACAGAATCGCATAATTTCATAACCTTTTAATTTGTAATATGACTTCAATAACGATAAAATGCATGTCGAAAACTGCCTCAGCATTTGATTTTGTTGTGATAAATTAGTACTTACGCATTTCTGTAAGTAGTTCCAATAGATATTATCGAGTTCTACTGTAGTTAGCATCCGTAGAACGACGCCAGAAAATAGCGCTCGTCTGGATGATTACGACAGCAGGCTGTTTCAGTCTCACGAACAGTCGCGTCCCTTTCAGTAGCGATTAGAGTGCATAGCGCAACTAGTTTTGGACAGGTACATTACCGAACAGGTACTTCTAGCAGATATAAAAGTAGCTTGTCTCTCTTCTATTGTTAACTTGTTTTTCAGTAAATTCTGGTCAACACTTACAAGTTCTAAGTATTCCGCTGTCTTACTCGTCTACCATTCTAGCATAGATCCTTGCTCAAGTCTTGTAGTATCATAAGGCTGTGACATTGATTTTGGTGTTACTGTTCAAATTATATTTTTATATAATTGTAGGCTTGGTAGTTATGCTACTAACTGCATCCTACTGTAGGGGGGACAACCCCCTTCTTGTACTTCATTCTCTTCTAGTCTATCACTCTTCCCTCTCGACACTCTCGTCCAGCTCCTAGCTAAACCCTTGGCCGCCATTTCATGGCGGCCTCCTCTGTTCTTCCTAGTTCAGACTTTAACAGTTACAACTTGTTAATACTGCTTGTTACTGGAGGTACTTCCAGTATTATTTTCTGTCAAAACCAGGCCTGACGTTTTAAAAAAAACCCCCCTGAACTGTCGACAAAAAAAAAAAAAAAAAAAAAAAAAACCCTAAGGGCTTAATTTTCAAAAAATGCCTACCCTGATTTGTAAGTGTCCAGAAATCTGGAACCCTGAAAATCCCAGGGTTCACCGAACGCATTCAGGGTTGCCTTCAACACGAGGGGGGAATTAAAAATGAGGGGAAAAACGGGAGGGTATGAAACCGAGGGGAGGGGGAGAGCGAAACGGAGGGGAAGGGGGAGTATGGAAACATAGGGGAGGAGAGGAAGCGAAACGGGGAGGGAAAAGGGGGGGGGGGGGGGGTGGGTCGAAATACAGTAGTGAGGAATGGGAGAAGCGAAACGGAGGGGAAGGGGGTATCGAAATGGAGGGGAGGGGGGAAGCGAAATGGAGGGAGAGGGGGGGATCGAGGCGAATGGGGCAGTGGCAGAAACCTCCCGCGCTTGCAGCGCTATGGGCGAATTGAGTACGTTAATCATACGCGATCATCTAACGGCTGAAAATTGTCGAAACGTTCGCGATTGATCGTGGCCGTCGAAGTTTGATGGACTTTCAGTTGACCACACGGGCAATAACAAAAGTGAATTTCTTTTTGTGCTATCACTGCTTATCAAGACTTAGCTAATTTTTGTGGGTTGTTAGTTAGGTGTGCCCCAGCCCAAAATCGCCGCCCTCCACAATTCCCTCCCCCAAATCTCGCCCCACACCTCTCAAAGCCCGGTACATTCGAGAACTGCCTTGCTGGAAGCCGGGGTTATGTTTGGCTCGGCTCTGGTTTTACAGGGTTTTTTCCAGATGGGCCCAAATCGTCTGAGCTAGCAAAAAAACTAGCTCAGGTTGCGCAAAACTGAGCCGTTAATGGCTGACCAACGATGAACCGCTGAGAATCGTCGAAACGAACGCGTTCGATTGTGACCGTCAAAATTTGGTGGATTTTTTTTGGGGAATTGGGGGCCTGGGGGAAATTCCGAAATGAACCTATGCTGCTAGAAAACATCAGTTTGGCTAAACTGAGCGGGGAGGCGAAACGGAGGGGGCACGAGGATCAAAACGGAGGTGAGCGGGGGATCGACATCGAGGGGGATGTCTGCGAGAGTGTGGGAGGGGGAATGTCTGCCTGTACAATAGGACTTAGACAATTTTTTGTTGAGGAGAGTGCTACTCTGGCTAGTAGGACTTAGCCAATTATTTATGGGTTGTTGCGGGTGTAGGGGGGGGGGAATGTCTACCATAGGACTTAGCCGATATTTGTCAATTTTTGTGGGGTGTGTAGGGGGAATGTCTCTACAATTAGGACTTGGTCAATTTTTTTAGGTTGGTGTGTGTGTGGGGGTAATGTTTCTAGAGATTGGGGACATCGCCGAAATTTCAGGTCTGTAAGGCACGTGAAATCGCATTCAGGGTTCGTACGCATTGCTCCCTGAAAACTCAGTATTGGCATAACGCAATCCCTGAAATCCCAAGTGTTCAGAAAATTACAACCCTGAAGGGGCTAAAGTTAAGAAAAGTCCAACCCTGAAAATTAAGGGTTGGCAAAAAGAATACCCAGTGAAATTAGGGAATCAGGGTAAAATACCCTGATAGCGACAGCCCTGGTCAAAACATATTCTAGTATGTTATTGTAAACAGTATAGGTTTGTGCCTTAGAGGGTACAACACTTGCCTATATTCTCTTGTCTCACATTCTACTTCATTCTAGCATTCAAATATGGTATCATGAGTAGGTTAGGTCCCGCTCGCCCACCAGCGCTTCCGCCATAGGTCCTAGCCACCCGTTCCCCCTAGCCGGCCCGCCCCTAGTCGGCCGCCGGCCCGCGCCCGTCCCGTAGCCGGCCCGCGCGCGTCCCGTAGCCGCGCCTGTCTCGTAGCTGGCCCGTGCCCTTCCCGTAGCTGGCCCCGCGCCCGGCCCGTAGCTGGCCCGCGCCCGTCTCGTAGCCGGCCCCGCGCCCGTCCCGTAGCCGCGCCCATCCCGTAGCCGGCCCCCGTCCGTCCCGTAGTCAGCCCATGCCCGTCTCGTACCCGGCCCGCGCCTGTTCCGTAGCCAGCCCCAACCTGCGCCTGTAGCCAGCCCGTCCTGTAGCCGGCCCCCTCCCGCGCCTGTCCCGTAGCCGGCCCTGTCCTGCGCCCGTCCCGTAGCCGGTCCCATCCCGCGCCCGTCCCATAGCCGGCCCCATCCCGCACCCGTCCCGTAGCCGGCCCGCGCCCTTACCCGTACCCGGCCCGTCCTGTAGCCGGCCTGTCCAGCAGCCAGCCCGCGCCCGTAGCCGGGCCGTTCCGCGCCCCCCTTGCCAGCCCGTTTCGTGCCCGCGCCCGTAGCCGGCCCTTCGCCTGCCCCATTCCGGCCCGCGCCCGTCTCGTAGCCGGCCAGCGCCCGTCCTAGCAGGCCCGTGCCTGTCCCGTAGCCGGCCTGCGCCCGTTCAATAGCCGGCCCCCACCTGGATCACCCAGCCCTCCCTCGTCTTCGTCATATGTCTCAGCACGGTCTTGTTCTAGGTCTCCCTGGGTCGTTCCCTGTGCTCCCCTCCTCGACCGCGCCGCCGTGCACCCCCTGTGTCGAGGGCCGACTCCGCCGTGCCCCTCACTCCTTCTCGTTCCCCCCCACTACCGCACCCTTGCAGACCTTACACATGGACGTCTGGGGCCCTGCCCCTGTCCATGGGCCGCGTCGTGAGCGTTACTTCCTCGTCCTTGTTGACGACTACACTCGTTACACCACCGTGTTTCCCCTGGAGTGGAAGGCCGATGTGCCTGACATTCTTATCCCGTGGCTTGTCTCAGCGCATGTGCATCGAGGTCTCCCTGTGTTGCGTCTCCACTTTGACCGTGGTGGCGAGTTCGCCTCCGGTTGCCTTCGGCGTTTCTATCGTGCGGAGGGCATCACCCAGACGTTCACCTTGCCAGACTCTCCGCAGCAGAATGGGGTAGCTGAGCGACGCATCGGTTTGGTCATGGAGGTGGCTCGTACCTCCATGATCCGTGCCGGTGCACCCCATATTCTGTGGCCGTTTGCCATTCGCTACGCCGCTCACCAGCTTAACTTGTGGCCGCACCCTCAGCGGCCGCAGGTTTCGCCGACCCTCCTCTGGACTGGGTCTCCTGGTGATGCGTCTGTGTTCCACATCTGGGGCTGCCTTGCTCACGTTCGTGCCTCTGGCACGGACAAGCTCACTGCTTGCACTGTCCCTTGTGTCTTCCTAGGTTTCCCCCTCGACTCGTCTGACTGGCACTTTTACCACCCGCCTTCTCACCGTTTCCTTCACTCCCGTGACGTCACCTTTGACGAGTCCGTCTCCTTCTACCACCGTTTTCCCCACCGTGGTCCCCCGGTTACCCCCCCCCTTGTTCCTGGTTCCCCCTCCCCCGCTCGTCCCTGCTTCCCCACCTCTCCGTCCTGACCTGTCTGGTGTGTCTCACGTCACCCCCCTCCGGTCGGTTGTCCCGGTCGAGGAGTCTGCTGACTCTAGTGGCCCCGCGGCGCAGTTCTCGCCGCCTGCCCCCTCCCCAGTGTCTCCTCCTCCACTGTCGCAGCCGCAGCCCTCGTTGCAGCCGCAGCCGCCGTCGCAGCCGCAGCCGCCGTTTGTGCCCTCTGGGGGTGCTGGAGTTGAGGAGGGTGCTAGTCCTGGGGTTCCTGGTGTGGCATGTCCCGGTGGGTCTGGTGGTGGTGCCGGTGCTGAACGGGTCTCTGGTTCTGGGGGTGTTCCTTCTGGGGGTGCTGGAGTGGACGGTTCTGGAGGTAGCCGTGGAGCAGCTGGCGGTCCAAGTATTGGCGTCGTGCAGCCGTAGCAGTAGAGGTTGCCGCCGGTGTCCGCCCTCCACCTGCTCGGCCTTCCCTCCCCTGACCGCACGTCTCCGTTTCTTCTACCGTCTCCTCCTCTTCCTATCTACGGCCCTGTGTTCCCTCCTCCGGACTCGTCTCCGGCTCGACTCCCCCCTCGTTCCCCTCCAGTGTCTCCTCCTCTGTCTCCTGACCCGACGCCCCCGTCTAACGTCTGGTCTCGCCGTTCCTCTCGTGCTCGTCCTACCTTCCCTGTTCCGCGTTCTCACCCTAT